TACATTATTTATTATTTCATTATTTTAAATGTTTAGTATAACGGTTTTCTTTCTAGAATGTTCGAAATTAGCCTTTTTTTATGGCATTATTGAGGGTAGTGGATTGTGATATGAATCGATTAAATTTTATCTTTCATTTAACTTTTCTTTTTACAGAAAGAAATTTTGCAATTTCCCACCGGTCGATAACGTGTGCTTTAGTGATAGTAATTATCGTCCTCATAACATATATTTATATCAAATTTAAAAGAAACTTTTTTAAAGGTATGTACTTTGAATGTCTGTTTTTATTCTTTCTCCCTTTTGCCTTTTTGTGCTTTTCTTGCCTTTTGTTTTTATCTTTGCTTGGTTTACGTTGTTTTGCTTATATTTTAATTTTTATCACTTCGATAAGCGCGTTTGTTTTAATTTTATTTTTTTATTTATTTGTTTATTTCTTGCTTTGTTTTCTCTTTATCCGTGTTTTCACGTTATTTGTCATGTCTTAATGGAAAGCTTATAATGTATACTAGTGAATTGATAATTAACGTGGATAAATGTATTAGTTGCAGATAACAGAGAAAAGATTACGAGGTGATGTAACTCTGACTACGAGTAAAACCAATTGCTCTATATTGCCAACTAATACATAATAAAGTAAAGCTATATCCACTGATACAGATTGTCATAGAAGAAGGAGAAGTAATAAAGGCACTGTCAGCCGGTGCAAAATTGCGCGCAACATTGTAGGCAATGTTCCTGAAGTAGGATAGTTTTCTACTTCAGCAACGTTGCGTACAACAAATTGCGTTGTGTGTCATGCCTCGCAACATTAATTGCATGCAACATGCATTACGCCCAATGTTGAACCGTGCGTCCGTAGCTTAATACCACGACTTAATACCCGATGTCCTTYAAAATTGTAAAATATTATTGTGTGCTTATTCTCTTACAGATTTGCCAGTCCTGTTTTGGATCGAACAGCTCATGAGGTATGCCAATAATCTTTTATATCGTTTTGATTCTTCCCTTAAAAAGAAT